CTGCTGCTCGCGCTAGCGTGGCTCATGGCAGAGTGCAGACTGTTTGAGCGTGCTCTGGCCCGCCTGGCCCTGCCGCCCAGCCTCACACCCCTGCTGCCCCCGCTGCCCCAAGACCCATCTGCATCTCTCGCCGCGCTGGACGCGCGCGCCACGGCGGCCGACGGGGCGCGCGCGCGCGGCGCGCGCGCAGCGCAGCTGCTGGAAGGCATGCAGGGGTGGCAGCGCGCCGAGGCGGCTGCTCAGCAGGCGCGGGCGGCGCTGGGGGCGCTGCGGGCGCGCACCAGGCTGCTCGGCTGCCTGTTGGACGGTCGGGAGCAGCTGCTGGCCTCGATTTTGAAATTGCAGCAGGAGCAGCAGCAGCAGCAGCAGCCGCGGGCGTCGAGAGGCCAGGGCGCGCGAGACGGGCCGCCATCGCCGCTGCAGCTGCTGGTGGCCGCCAGCTCCCGCCTCCTGAGGCAGCACGAGGCCGCCTTGACGTCCGCCTGCGGGCTTCTGCAGCAGCAGGCGGAGTGCGCGCGCCACGCGCTCGTGTTCTTCTCCTGGGCGGGCAGCGCTCTCGGGGAGGACAGGCGGCAGCGAGCTGCGGCCGCACAGCAGTGCAGCTGCGGCGGTGGGGACGGCGACGGCGACTGCGCAGGCGCGTGGGCGGTCCCGCTGGGCGGCGGCGGCGGCAGCGGTGGAGGAACACGTGGCGCGCAAGAGGCTGCGGCGGGCCTCGGGTTCGCTACCGTCGCTGAGGTCGCGCCACTGATCCGGCAGCTGCCTCGAGCGACGGACGCGCCCGCCCTGGCGTGCCGTGTGCTGGCGCGGGTAACGTCAGAGCTGGAGCAAGCGGCGAACGCGGCGGGCCTGGACGCCTGCGGCGGCGGTGGCGGCGACGGTGTTGGTGGAGACACGGATGTCAGTGGCTTGCAGCTGGAGGGGGCGCTGCCAGAGTGCCTGCAGCCGTTTGCCGAGGCGGCCGCCGCAGCCCTGAATCAGGTGGGAGGGTGCCCGCACCGTGGCGATGGGCGAATGCAAGTGCTTGGGGTCGCATTCCCTGCGCACCGCGTGCGTGCTGCTGCGCGTCAGGGCAGGCGCCTTTCCCGGCTGGGCTGCTGCCGCGTTCTTCCGCCCTGGAGCAACGTGCATATTCCGCCGCTCGCCGCTCCCGCCCCCCCCCCCCC